AGTTTGGGCTTGCCTTATGCTCACTTTTGTAGCCCCCAGGTTGGTCTCAAATTAACAGAGATCCTTCTGGCTCAACCTCCTGAGGACTAGGACTTCAGGGCTGTGCCACCATCCCTGGTTCCAAGGCTTTGTGGTGGGCACCCGCATCAGGCTGAGACTATACAGCATGTGGGGCCTGGGATCAAACTTGGGTCCTTGTGCTTGCTAGATAGGTGCTCAAGCGTCTGAACTATGTCTCCAGCCCACAAAAAGCAATATTTTCTTTAAGTTTCTAAAAAATGATTCCAATCTTCCAAGTTCCCATTTTGCAAGTCTAAACATCTAATCACCTTAACAAAATGTAACAATGTAACAATGCCAACCCTCTTCGGGTTTGGAGTCTTTCTTCTGGACATGCTTTCTGTAGCTAGGAACGTACACAGGGGAAGCCAGGTCTAGAGTTCTGTGCCCAAAGGCCCTGCCAAGAGATCAGTGTGTCACTATCACTTTGGGTGACTCTGTACTGGATCAATAATTTATTCCTGAGTCACTGATACTCTTAGTCAGTTGTTACACATTTCGAGAAATAGAGTAAAGGATTTTCTAAACGGTAACTGAGAGTGAGCTAGTGATCAGCATTTAGGAGAAATGCCCAAACAGAGCACGCAAATGAGCAAGCCATCTGTACCGCATGGGCGATGCTGCCCAAGATAAGCAGGCTTGTTACCTTCATCGCTTCCTTATTTTCACCTTCTAATCTCATTGTCCGATACCAGATCCTGTTTCTCAAGGCTCCTTTCCTACCAAACACCACAACTCTTCCAGGCACCCAGAGCCCTGGTGCAATAACAGCACAAGATTTGCTGGATGTGTATTAAATGTCTGTTATGTGCCAAGAGCCAGATTGAGCACAAGGAAAGTAATGTAACACAGCCTCTGCCTTGTGAAACTTCCCAGGACATGAGGGAGGCAGATTTCATAAATGCTATTAGAAGCTACAACACTACAACGGGGCAGGGGGTGGGGGTTCCACATGCGCAGGGAATGGAACATCTATGCTGGTGAGGAAGTGCAGAAAAATTTTAAATTACACTGAACTTTCACAGGAAGTAGAAACAACTTCCCAAGTTAGAGGAATGGTGGGTACAAAGCTGTGAAGTTCTGCCAAAACACAGCATATATCTCGGGTATTATAACTGGGCTCCAAAGCCCAAAAGGTTGACAAAGTAGGATGTGAGGGCTTGAAAGACAAAGACGTGATCTTGGAAGGGCTTAAGGATCTTTTTTTTTTTAAATTTTCATTTATTTATTTATTTTTGACATCAGTTATTTTTATTTTAAAGAAAAAAATAAAAACAATGGTACAAAATCTCAAAACAAGATTTTAGGAGAGTAACAATAGTTAGTACATTGTGTATTGTTACTGCCAAAGTAGTTTCTCATATTACAAGATATAGGCAAGAAATAATAAATAAACAACATAGGTACAAATCTCTTTTT